GAAATATCCATATCTTTTTACCTTAAAGGCCAAAGAACGACCTCCGGAGTGATTGCCGCAAACTCCTTCATGGATTTCTTTTATTACAGTACGAACTTGTTGGCCAAAAATACAGATCATGTCGGGACCCGAGACGCTTCTTCTGTAAAGGATATCATTTGAAATGCAAAACCGAGCGCTTTTAGCCTTTAGACTTCGCGCTTCCCATTTATCCGTAGGGAGAGTACCATTAAGGATGTATTCTCTGATGGGTGTCCGCCAATCTGCCCCCCAATCCGGAAGCGGTAGTAATTGTAGGGCTGGTTCCGGATTTGGAGGTGTTTCAATAGGCGATTCGACTTCGGGTACTTGCTCAGCTTCTTCGTTTCTTGGCGAATCTGGGTCCATATTCATTCTTCTACGCATAGAACGAGTGGTTACAAAATTCATTTCCCCGACTGATGGACTTGAACCTGCTATGCTCGGATGCTCGATTACTTCGACAGGGATCATTCTGCTTACTGTTACTTCGGAACTCGATGCTAACGCAGCTAAAGCATCTGCAGCTGAATTCTCGCCTCGTGGAATCCTTGTGAGTTCGAAACTTTGAAACTTCTCACTCAGATGTTGAACTTGAGCTAGGTAAGCCTCCATTCTACTATCCTTAGCTTCATAGTCACCAGAAAATTGATTAGCAACGAGCTGCGAGTCACAGAATGTCCGTAGTTTCGTGATACCTATCCCAATCGCTAGGCGAAGTCCTGCAAGGAGAGACTCATACTCCGCCTCGTTGTTTGACGCATTAAACGCGAGACGAAATGACTGTTCAATTACTTCACCATATGGAGATTGTAACCGGATACCGATCCCGGAACCTTGTTTTGAAGATGCTCCGTCCACATGAAGTATCCAAGGTCCTTCGTTTTCTTTGTCTTCCATGGAAACCAGAGGTAGTTCGATCAGAAAATCTGCGAGGACTTGAGATTTCAAGCTTGTCCTTGTTCGGAACTGAATATCATACTCGCTTAACTCGATTGCCCATTTGACCAATCTTCCCGACTGACTCGGACTATGCAAAATTGCCCTTAAAGGTTGCGTAGTTAGGATAATAACCGTATGAGATTTAAAATACGGTCTTAATTTCCGCGCCGAAGTAATTACTGCCAGGGCTAACTTTTCCATCATCGGATACCTCGACTCCGCCCCTGAAAAAGACTTGCTTACATAGAAAATCGGTCTTTCGTCGTTCCGATCCAACCGTACTAACACTCCGCTTACTGCGCTGTCAGACACTGATACGTACAAGAAAAGCTCTTCTCCGAACTCGGGCTTCGCTAACACAGGAGGTCTGGACAAGTAATCTTTCAAATCTTTGAAAGCCTTTTCGCAATTCTCATCCCAGACGAAATTCTTGTTCGCTTTTCTGAGCAGATTATAGAATGGAAGGCATCTATCGGTTGACCTCGAGATGAAACGGTTCAAAGCTGCTACCCGCCCCGTGAGTCGCTGAACTTCTCGGATATTGCGAGGTGAAGACATCGCCAGAAAAGCGTTCAGTTGTCGCGGATTAGCTTCGATTCCTCGCTCCGTGACGATATAACCCAAAAACTCTCCCGACGGAACTGCGAAAGTACACTTGGTCGGGTTCAGTTTCATTCCGAACTCATTCAGAATTGCGAAGCACTGTTCTAGATGTTCGATATGCGAAGTACTTGACACTGACTTCACCAACATATCATCAATATATACTTCCATCGTTTTACCGAGGAGATCTTTGAACATCATATTCACCAACCGTTGATAAGTGGCTCCGGCATTTTTCAATCCGAAGGGCATGACTATATAACAGTAAGTTCCGCGGTCCGTGATGAAAGCTGTTTTTTCCTGATCTTCCGGATTCATCAAAATCTGATTATACCCGGAAAAAGCATCCATAAAAGACATCATTTCGTGACCCGTAGTTGACTCCACAAGTCGATCGATGTGCGGAAGTGGGAAACTATCTTTGGGACAAGCTTTGTTAAGATCGGTGAAATCCACACAAACTCGCCATTTCCCATTTTTCTTTTTTACTACAACGGGGTTTGCCAACCAGTCCGGGTATTTGACTTCGCGAATTAAACCCGCATCAAGCAAACGCTGCACTTCGGTATTAACAGCTTCGGCTCGATCCGGACCGAGTTTCCTGCGCTTTTGTTTAACCGGTTTGAAAGTCGGATCGATGTTGAGCTCGTGTGAGATTACCTTTGTATCAATCCCAGTCATCTCCTCAATCTTCCAAGCGAAAGTTTTTTTATTCCTTTTCAAGAATTTGACCAGTTCGACTCGGAGTGTTTCACTTAATCCAGATCCTATGTTCACAGTTTGGTCCGGATATTCCTCATTAATTACCACTGCTTCCACGAGGTCACTGCTGATTTTTTTGACTGGATCCGCAGGTACCTCGAGCTGTGGTTGCTATTGAATCTTCAGCTTGTGACTAGACATGTAACACATCCTCGCAGCTCGCTGACTTCCTAGGATTTGTTTTACTCCGGACGTAGTTGGGAACTTTAAGCATTGATGATACGTCGAGGGTACAGCTTTCATTTCATAGAGCCAAGGCGTCCCTAAGATAACATTGTAAGCCGCAGGACGATCGAACACAGTGAACTCGACCATTTTGACTATCCCTTCGGCAGATACCGGGAGCACAATTGTTCCCACTGACATTGAAGTTTCACTGGTAAAGGAAACCAAAGGAGATGGTGGCCCCTTTATACTTTGCTTTGATATCCCCATTCTTGTCAGGGTATCAAGGAAGATTAAATCCACCGAACTCCCAGTATCAATGAGAACTCGTGATACTTCGCAATGCGCAATATCAAGTGTTATGACCAGAGCATCATCATGCGGTTTGTCAAGTTGACTCGTTTCGCTTTCTGAGAAGGTTATTTCGGGTAACTGCTCCTCAATGACTCTCGCTTTCTTGAGTACTGGGGAGTTCGCTCTTCGTTCGTGTTGCTTGATCGCACTAATGGAGTCTCGAAAAAGCTTGGATCCTCCCATAATCACCTGGATTTGCTTTTTTGGTCCTTTAGGAATATCCGGAGATTGGATCCTCTTCGATTTCTTATTAGGGGGAGAGGAAACCTCTGGCTCGACTGTTTGCTCTGACGGATGAGCTGACTCGAGTTCCGAAACATCAATTTCAGATATTTCACCAGATGCGAACTTAGCAGCCAGCAGTCTTCCTAAAGCTTTGCAATCTTTCGTAGCATGTCCATTAACTTTGTGGATTTCGCAGTAGGCGTTTGGATCACGGATCCACTTGTTACTCGGGAATGCACCATTTTTGTTCTTGGGCGAGAAGGATTGCTTCGCAGGTGAATTCTTCGGAGAATTTTTCGGCTCTTCCCGGTCTACTGAAAATGTTCCCGCTCCGGGTTTGCGAGCTTCGGCTTGAACAGGTTTCTTCTGCGGAGGAAGCTGAGCGGGCTTCGGGGCAGCTTTAAACTTTTTGGCTAGAGCAGCTCGCTCTTCCTCCGCGTTTATCCAGTTCGTTGCCCGATGAAGAGCGTCCTGAATAGTGGCTGGTCGGTTAACAGTCAATTCTTCTCGGAAACGAGATTCATGCCAGAGACCGTTCTTGAGTGCAGCAATAGCTGCGGAATCAGACAGATTTGGGATCTGAACCATAATTTCTTTAAAGGACGTGATGTAAGTCCGGAGTGGCTCTCCAGCTCCTTGCGAGAGGTTCCATAACTGTGCGTCAGTTACATCGCTCTTGATGAAGTATCCGTACTGCATAATGAAAGCAGTGGATAGCTGCTTGAAGCTATCGATAGATCCCTCTTCTAATTGAGTGAACCAGGTCAAAGCCGGCCCGGACAGGTTCTCAGCGAAGAGTTTGCATAAACCCGCGTCCACTTCATTTGGCTCCAGGTGTACGCGCCCTGCGGTAACCTGAAAAGATGTTAAAAATTCTTTGGGGTCTCCCTTACCGTTGTACCCCGGAAGTTTGACCTTCCTTTGATCTTGAATTCGCAGGGCAGCAATCCGTGGAGTAAAAGGAGTCCTTCTTGTCTCCTCGATCACTCTATCGACTTCGGGAGCCGAGCTGGTGGCTTGATGAACCTTCGAATTCATTTCCCGGATCTGATTCTGCAGGTTCTGGATTTCCGGGCTGACAGGGAGTCGAGGTAGATTGAATCCGGTTTGGGGGAGACGCGGGGTACTCTCCGGATGGACAGGAAAAGGTGTTCTGACCGGAGCGAATGAATCGCTGGCTGGATTTTGAGGTGCTTGTGGAAAACTGGATCCTCCTCCAGGCTCGCTTTGAGAACCCAGAGGTAACGAAACCGGGAGCGCACTGCTAGGGGTGACCAGTCTAGGATCTTGAGCTTCCGAAGTGTTTGGATTGTGAAAATCCAGATGTCCGCGAGGTCCGCTGGTTCGCAAGGTTCCTGCAAGAATAGTATCAACCCGATCGGCATAAGCATTGTGGGCTGACCTGATTTCGGAACAACTTGCCGTGAGGACTGCGATTTGACTGGTGCTTTGCTCTTCGAATGCTGAAAACTTCTCAGACAAAGTAGTGGTCGCGAGTTGTTGCTGGTCGGTCTTTTCGGAGAGATCTTTCAGCATTTTCTTGATCTCGTCGAGGGCTGAAGCTGAATCCGTCACGTCTGACATCTTCTCGACTGGTTAATCTGGAGTAAAAGACTAGAATTCCCCTCCTTCTAGCGCCAAATTGTGGATGTCGGAATCCGCAATACAAATTTTAAGATGTGTACCGGGTCGTCTAGCCTTGATAATTCGAATAACAATCGAGAGAAAGAAAACAAAAGAGTGAAATGTATGTATCTGTATATTGCTCCAGAATTCCGTCCCCCATACAATGGTTTTTGTGTCCTATTTATAGTTACATAATCCGAAACCGAAGTCGCCAATCAAGCCTCCAATTTCGCCTTCATTATTGCTTACGTTACGAATCTCCTTGATCTCGCAGATTCCGTGTGACCCGCCTTTCAATTAAACGTCGAGATCCTGACGTTTTATTCGACCTGGGCCGGAGCCTACTGGGCCGTTCTGGACCGAACTAGTGGCCCACGATCTTCTGTCTTTCTGGGCCGGATCCGAATTGCGGGATCCGACACCAACATGCACCTTCTCAGAAGCTCGAACTCATACTCTCCCATCTTTGGATGCTTTAAGGGTCCGAATTGACGGTAATAAGTCAGGCAAGTGAAGCAAGGTTCGGGCATATTCCTACCGTCCTTGCGGAAGAATGTATCAATGGGAGGCGTGAGATAAAAGGTGGCATCGCTATTGGAGTAGAAAACGAATGATTTGCTGGCTCGGCGGGATAGAGACAGCTCGTGGCGCCATTGACCGTCACGGATTGTACAGTAGGAGACAAAGCTTCCCCAAAATTTGACGGCTAGGATACATTCTTGGTCAGGGTTATCAGGGAAAGAGGAGAGAGAGACGTTGCGAACCTGAGAAGTCGCCATGGACTTTGAAAGGTCAGGAGCATGGTAATAAGGAGTTAGAAGGACAGGGAGGGATATGACTCTGTGAGTGGATTTGGGAGCTGAGGGATTGAACATGTTGGTGAGATGTACGGTTAGATCTTCTTCGTTCATTCTGATCATCCAACCACGAGAAGATCCAATGTTTCTTGAAAGGTAGATGCTTTCAGGGATCCTCTGCTCTGCCATCGTCACTCGTTTCTGATTTATTGGGTCGTAGTAGTTGAAATTCGCTATTTTGTATCTCTTGCTTAATCTTCTGATACCATCCATTGAGAGTAGCATATATGGAGCTGGTGATAAAGAAGATGACGTCGTCAACAAGCGAATTCCTCCTCTTCGAATCTGACTTCGAGAAGAGAAGAGAGAGAGGTCAAAGAAACCTACACCCGATTCTCCGACACCACCGGCTACTTTCGACATTCTTTTCACCAAAAGCAACGACGACATTATTGATTATTATCCTCACTCTTCCTGCCAATTTAGGGTTGCTTCAACACGAGATTGATGGCTTCTGTCTACTACTGTTGCCTGTTGGATCACATTTTCTTGTGCTTCTTCGTTTATAGCCCACTTAGGTTGAGCCCAGCTCATATATGTTATGATTTAAACCCAACACTGTTTTGCTCATCTGTTCTGTCTGTTTTCTCGTCAGTAAAGACCACACAATTTTGTTAAGTAAAATGGCGTTGTTTGCCATTTTCGCCGGAGCAGGCTGTGACACTAGCCATGATGCTTGACAAATTTTTGAACACCATACTCATGCAATAATCGTGGATAGAGATAGAATGATGCATCATATTATCCTAATCATGACTAGAGCAAATCCAGGACTAACACTTGATGTGAATTAAATGAGAGATTACTAGTGAAGGATTGGGGGAAGCCAAAAAGGCGTGAGCAGATGCTCTTGATGAGGGAGTTGATCGATGTTGTGGGTGGCAATATCATACACAGAAACGTGAGTCTTCTCGGTGAAGTAGATGGAGTTAGGCTTAAGGCCAGGGTACACACTGGCGGGGATACAGAAGGGCTCGTTCTTACCAAAGAAAATGCAGAGATCTCCAATGTCTGCCACGTAAGATTCGGCTCCTTTGTTAATGTCGTGCTTGTACAGCTCAAACCGCTTGGTCTCTAGCTCATAAACATCAGATTCCTTTTGGCAGAATAAGATGTGTTTCTTCACCGTTTGCATGTACCGCATGATGGTAAAAATGTCGCCAGAGGGTGTCTCCACCAAGAATCTGCTGTCGCCGCCGGAGCACCCTAGCAGCAACTTAAGCTCGGAATCCGACAACTTCCCCGGTGGCTCAAAAGGTCCGAGTTGCATGAAATAAGCAACAAGAGGGAATCCGTGTTTGTCCTTATGTTCGTATTGTTCAAAGTTTCGGGAGTTATCTGACGTACGAGCAGTCAACGGCGTGATGTAGAATATCGAAGCTGTGTTGGAGTAAATGAGGGAGGAAGCCTCGAAATGCCGGGGAAGAGAGTTAATGTGCGACCATGACCATGACGAGTCATCATCACTGCGACTGCGTCTACAAAAGGAGATGCAGCTTCCCCAAAACTTAATGGCAACAATGCAGTCTTCTTGGTCAGGGGAAGATGAGAGAGATACGTTACGAACAAGCTCAGTCAAAGGTGTGGACTCCGACGGGTCGAGAGAATAAGGCAAAGGAACAAGGGGAGGCAGAGAGATGACCTTGCGAGCGGATTTGGGAACTGAGGGATTCAACATGTTGGTAACATGTACGGTTAGATCTTCGTTGTTCATTAGAATCATCCAGCCACGTGAAGATCCTATGTTTCGAGAAAGGTAGATGCTTTCGGGGATCCTCTGCTCTTCCATGCTCACTCGTCTCTTCTTCACCAAATCGTAGTAATTGAAATTCACGACTCTCTCTACACTGCCGTCGCCAGGAGATTCTCCTCCGACAACATCATCCATGTGAAGTAACAGATATGGGTATGATGGTAAAGATGACGTCGTCAACAAACGAATCCCTCTTGGAATCTGACATCGACTGATATGAATTCCGAAACCAGCTAATTTGGATATCCTCCTTGCCAACATTTCTTGTCTTAGACCCCGCAAATCCTTCGCACGCTCGTCCTTCTCTGTCCACAATATTTAGGGTTTCTTTTTCAATGCTCTGTTTTGTCCCTTTTTGATCATTGGAAAAATTGCAGAAAACCTTCATTACTTATTTTAATATTTTTTTTAAAAAGTCACTAAAATAAAGTCCACAAACAAACAACTGATTGCCAAAACGTCGTCGCTCTTGCAAGATTCCACAGGTAAGTAAAGGAAAAGTGGACCAAAGAAACAAAACCCATACAAAAGTCGAATCCAAATCTCTCTCCGGCGATCTCATCCATGGCGGAAGGCGGCGAAGATCCCCAGCGGTTGAAGAAAATTGCGGCGGCTGCCTTCGACTACGAAAACGACGCTCGATGGGCTGATTACTGGTCCAATATCCTCATCCCTCCTCACATGGCTTCTCGTCCCGAGGTCGTCGACCATTTCAAGCGCAAATTCTACCAACGCTACATCGTCCGTACTATCTTCCCTACTCTTGAATTTGCTTTTCTATTCTTCGTTACTTTGAGTTTCGAGTTTGACTCTGTCTTGTGTGCGCTACTGATTTGGGGTTTTGTGTGTGAACTTTGAATCTTAGGTTTTACTAGTGTGTTTGTTGATTTTACCATTGGGGGGTTTTGATGTTCTTTCTGCTAATTTGCTTAGTCCTTGGCTCCGAATCTCCTCGTGATTAGGTTATTAAGCGGAGGGTAGGGCTTTTCATTGAACACTGTGCTCACTTTGTTGATTTCATATTCGTTGGGTCTTGTTTATAATATGTGAAGCCCTCGTGTTGTTCTTCTTTGCTTTTCCCTATGAAGATTTCCTTTTAGTCTATTGATCTGGATTTGTTTCTAAATCTGGGTGCTTACACTGCGATGGCCTTTTTTTTGTAGGATCCTGATCTTGTTGTGGAGCCTATGTCGACTTCATCTTCGTCTTCACAATCTGCCAGGCCAGCTGCTACATCTGCATCTTCAACGGCATCTTCTAATGCAAACGAACAAGTTCGTTCACGGAACCCAGGTCAACTTTCTTTGTCTGATACATTCTTGAACTCAGATGAGCTTTTCTTTTACTACCAAAAACTGACTTAATTGTGTGCCTCAGGATCGGTTCCTCGAACATCTGGGCCATCTGCTACGGCAGGTGCAAACCCAAGTTCAATGCGCTGGGATCAGCAGACGATTCAGTTTTCAGTCAATGCTTGGGTAAGATAATGTGTTCCAGTTGCAGTTTTTTCTTCTTATTGCACAATTTTAATAGAAGATCTAGCTCTTTATTAGGGCTGTGAGTTGGGATTGCTGTTGCAATCTGCTGTTCACTCCTTAACTTATCGGACAGTAATGAGATGGTGCATTGTGTACTGTCGTCGTCTTTATGTTCTCCTGTCTTGCTGAATGTTTGTTGTGTACTCAGATATGAACGAAGCGAGACTAATGCTCTTAGTCTGGCATGCTTCAAGTAACTATCTCCCGTTTCATGTCTCAAAATCCATTACATCTTTTGCAGGTTTTTGTTATAGCTGTGCTGGCAGTGCTACCTCTAATACCAAAGAACCTCTCAAATAGGGCTTATCGTCTATCTTTCATGGGAACTGCGTGCTCATCTCTATATTCCTTATACTCCTTATACGGGGTAAGCCATGTGATCTCTCGTTTTTTTCTCTCTATCTGATCATGCAACGCGAAATTTTGTGACATATGAATTCCAATTTTATAATCTGCAGAGGCCAAGGGCATGGAATATGCAAGGGCTACAAGTTTATTTTCAATCAATTGTGGCAGCAAAGGATTTCATCTATTTCATCTACTGCCTTACATTTGTCACTTCACATCTCTGTCTCAAGTGTAAGAATTGATTGAAAACTCTCTTGTGAATTTCTTCAAATCACAGACATTCCTATGACTAGTCTCCTTATCAATCTGTTGCAGTTGCTTTGATTCCCATCTTGTGCCGGGCACTTGAACAAGTAGCCAAGTTCTTGAGGCGTAACTTTGGTCGTTCCACTATATACAGGTAGTTACATCCAGCTGATTAGCAGGTTTGAATGTCGTAGTCGGTTCCATGTGTGGATTCTTACTGATGCTTATGTCGTTCTATGTGTCTTGCTCTGTAATGGTTATCAGAAAGTACTTGGAAGACCCTTGTGTGTGGGTGGAGTCAAACACTACTACCCTCAACATTCTGTCATCGCAGGCTGAGATAGCCATTGGCTTCCTTCTGATCATCTCTCTACTCTCGTACGCTCTTTGAACCTGTTAGAAGCGATAATAGTTTATTCGTACTATGTTCCCAGCTCTGCATTAGCTGGTTTCGCTTATCTGAACAAAATTGTCATTTTACTTACTGCAGATGGCAACGCAACATTATACAGACGTTCATGTACTGGCAGGTTCGTCTCTTCTTTTGGTTGTAGTCATCAGTTATTTGTGATGGCTCAACATCTCCAAGTAGAACCGCTGTTTTCTTTGTTTAATTTGATCAAGTGAACATATAGGAACAACCATTTTCATAAAAACACCTTTATGTTGCTTTGTTGATGATCTTCGTCTCTGATAGTGTTACATGGGCTAAGACAATTAGGTTAGTAATGAGAATTGTGTGTTGCTTCTTTTGTTTGTGTCATGAGAGTCCGTCAAGTTGAAAACCCTTTTCGTCATATTCTTCCTGAACAAAGATATAGGTAGTTTCCAGGATTGTTGGTTGGATTGGATCTTGAGAGTTGTTCTCATGAATGAGTTTTGTTATTTTGGTGGCAGCTATTGAAGCTGATGTATCAAGCACCGGTAACAGCGGGTTACCACCAGAGCACGTGGAGCAAAATCGGGAGGACAGTGACTCCGATTATCCAACGTTACGCTCCCTTCTTGAATACTCCGGTGAGTGCCGTTCAGAGATGGTGGTTCAGGTGATCAAAACAAACAAAATGCAGAGGTGACTTTTGATACCCCTTTGAAAAACCAGAAGATTATATAGCTTTTAACAATCCATCTTTCATTTCATCTTCAGCGTAAAGTAGATTCTTCTTCTCTTTAAACGTTTTTTTTGTTTTTTGCTATCCCTGAAATAAAAATCTCTTATTACTAAAGATTTTGACTGACTTTTGGTTTCTAGTTTAGTTATCTGTGACTAATTGCCTTTTCACCTTTTGCATAGGGACATTTTAAGATTTATAATATCTGATTACATGAGTGACTATATAACATCTTCTCAAAAATCAAAATAATCAAATATCATCTGGCCCTAGAAAATCGGTTTCATTGTGTAAGCTAAATTTATTATTTATTAGAAGGTGATATTTATAGAAATTATAGTTGATTGGTTGTGAGTTGTTTACACATGTAGATGAGTGTTTTTGTTCGAAAAAAGGAAATCTAAAATAATGTACATTGGGGAGCGGATTATTATTTAGATAAACCAAATTTGGGAAGAAGGGATTTTAATCATTGATTCAGATTCCCTTCATTGGTGCGCGTGCCACCGCATAAATCACCGAACACGTTCCAAAGTCTAGTACCAGCAACACCACGTGGCGTTCATACACAACTATACGAATACGAGTGTCGAGACATCAAAACACCAATAGCGTTTACGTTAGTGGTTACTCTATTTTACGTTCGAACGCAATTCATTATTCTAATCACATTTTATAATATTTGCTCCAGCACTGTTTATTAAAAAAAAAGAACTCTGACACGACGCCGTTTGAACTCATTATATCTTTCCTCTTTGTGAAAAGAGAAAGAGAGAGAGGGAGAGCCGCACATGAGTGAAAGCTTTTCAAATATTTGAAATAATAAAACAGAACCGATCAATTTTTAAAAGCAAAAGACACGAAGAGGAGGAAGGAAACAAAACTCGAGATCCAATCTTTTTCCGACTAATCTCACGGCGGAGATGCAGTTATCTCCAGAACGATGCCGTCCGATGTCTTCAACAGCGTCGGAAATGAAAGAGGCTTGCCCAGCGAATTCCGACGAAATGGAGCTGCTTCACGGCTCCAACAGATTATCTTCACCGGAACAGGTTCGTAGAAGAGTCTCCGGGAATTCTTCTGCGGAAGGTTCGCCTCGAATTTGCCGGCAGCAGTCGTTCGGTCGCGATATCGGCCATGCAGCTGCCGAGACGTATTTAATTACTCGACTTAGCTTCAACCTTCTTGGATATCTCGGGTACTCAATTTCGAATTCTCCCACCAATTTTGATTCGAATTCTCGCATGAATATATTTACAAGCAGACGTTGACTACCTTGAAATTCTTTCTTGTTTAAAAGTTATGCTTAATTTTGTTTCTAGAGCTCACAATTAGTCTTCTGGATGAATTATTCTTAGCACAATTTTTATGATAAATAAAATGAGTTTACTGATATAATTAATAATTTAGGACATGTGATGATGATGTTTCTGTTTTTGATTTTGTCGGATTCTCTGTAAGAAAAGTTTTATTTTAATTGTTAAAAGTTTTTGTTCAGGGTAGGTTACCGGTGGATCACAAGATTACTAGCTCTTGCTTGTTATGCAATGCTCCTTATGCCTGGTTTCCTTCAAGGTCATCCCATCTTCGTTGCTCTGTCTGTTTAACGAGCTGTTTTACACTAACAAAGCTTTGCTATTTTCTTCTGCAGTTGCATATCTTTATTTTTTCTCATCTCAAGTCAGGAGGAGTATAGTTTATGGAGGTCATCCAAGGAATAGGTATCTCAGTCTTCTTCTTTCATTTCATATCACAAATGATTGGTATTTAGTACATGTCATCGATTATTTGGCAGGCTGGATTTGTACATACCGCCAACTAATGATGGCCTGAAGCCGGTTGTTGTTTTCGTGACTGGTGGAGCTTGGATTATCGGGTAAGCAATTCACGGTTCTCGTATCGTGGTTAACTTTAATAATACCACTAGGGTCCTTTGTGGCTACATCTTCTTTCACAAGATAAAAGTCGCACACTCATAGTTTCATACTTGCCTATCCTTTTAGTTACAAAGCTTGGGGTTCTCTCTTGGGACTGCAGCTAGCAGAAAGGGACATAATTGTGGCATGTCTAGATTACAGGTAAGCAAACTAATCAATTCCTTACCAGTGTTACTTGTCCTGGATTCTATCAATGTAGAATGAAATCAAATCTATATCAGCTTGGAGCTATTTAGGAATTAACACTTTATTAATAATATGCAAGTATCCAATGCATTAACCAAGCAATCCCCTGTATTTGTTTCAGAAACTTTCCTCAGGGGACAATTAGTGATATGGTAAGTGATGCCGCACAAGGAATCTCATTTGTCTGCAATAACATCTCTGCATTTGGAGGTGATCCTAACAGGTTAGAGCTCATCAGCTTTGTTTTTGTTCAATTTTCTATCTTTCATGGGCTCTTGTGACTGAACCAGTGTCTTCTTGTGTGTGTAGAATCTATTTGATGGGGCAATCAGCTGGTGCACATATCTCTTCTTGTGCTCTCTTTGAACAAGCTATTAAAGAATCAAGAGGGGAGAGCATCTCATGGAGTGTATCTCAGATAAAAGCTTACTTTGGTTTATCTGGAGGGTAATTACTAAACTTGGTGTTACTATGAAGCTTAAAACTTTGAAAAGGGTTTCTTATCCAGTAATCCATTTGCAAACTTGAACAGGTACAATCTCTTCAATCTGGTTGAACACTTCCACAACCGGGGCTTGTATCGTTCAATTTTCCTAAGGTAAACCATCTGATCAATCATGTCTTTCTAACTTGGCATCTTTCAAATAACCCAAAACCTAGAATAGAATCAATTGTATCTGAAAAAAAAAAAAAACAACAACTTTCATCAGATTGAGAGAAGAAGACGAAAAAATAAATAATAACATAGGAGAGGAGCTAGCAACATGTATACTATTTCACTTTTTTTAGAGTTTTTCAGCCAATCAGAAGGCTCTATTTCAGACCCACTCGCACAAAGTGAGCGTTGCGCGAGTGTGAGCAATTCTGTAGGTGTACCCCTTTGCAAATCATGCCTTTTTCAATCTACGCACTTGTCTCCAAAATTCCCATCGCGTGAATATTTTTTTGTTTTCTTCTCTTAACCAGTGTAAACCGAACCCAAAATCAATTCTAATTTCAATACCATGTAAACCAAACCGAAATCAATTGTAATTTCAATACCATGTAAACCGTGACTTATGACTCTCTTTTTTCATCAACTTGCAGCATAATGGAAGGAGAAGAGTCCTTTGAACAATTCTCTCCTGAAGTGAGATTGAAAGACCTGAGTGTAAGAAAAGCTGCAGCCCTCTTACCTTATATTACACTCTTTCATGGATCCGCAGATTATTCAATTCCACCTGAAGCAAGGTTAGCTCACCCTCTTATAGTCTTATATATATATTACATATACGAAGCCACCAATCCAACTATATGCTAGTTCGTTTAGTCATCTTCTTAGACCAGAAAAGTGTTCTTTCTTTTGTAGCAAAACTTTTACAGATGCTCTTCGAGCTGCTGAAGTGAAAGCCGAGCTAGTTATGTACAAGGGTAAAACTCATACCGATCTATTTCTTCAGGTAAGCAATAGAAACTACTACCATTAAAGATCATATTCTACATACATATCTCAATGTTGTCTAAACACATTACAATTTGCATTGCAAGGATCCTCTGAGAGGCGGTAACGATGAGCTATTTGATCATATAGTCTCTATGATACACGCCGATGACAGTTACGCATTGAGAAATGATGCTGTTGCGCCACCGAGAAAACGGCTTGTTCCAGAGTTCTTGCTGAAACTGGCCGGCAAGGTCAGCCCTTTTTGAATAGAAAAACTAAATCTTCGATACGGTTCTGGTAGCTTCTTGATATTCGATGTATTTGTTGTTGTTTGTTGTTCTGTGTTTTCTTCTTCTTCGATTTGTATATTTTGATAGCAACTCTCACATGTTGATGTGATTGAAGGATAAGTCTCTTTTCATCGGTGAATATATATAGAGCCCAAAATAAATGGATTTCATCTATCCACTGATCGAAAAGCGTCAAACTGAAGCTACCTCATCATATTCTGCTATTGTGGCTTGCAAATCAAAGATATGCTGGTAGTTGCAGTCACATAATAATAGAGAAACTCCAAAAACTAGTGGTTCCTAGCAGTCACAAACACAAAACCAAGATCTACATTGCACGAAGCGAGTAATAGATACAGATGCTTTCTAGGAAGCTTTTGTCATTCAGTTTCTTTTAACAAGATTCCTACCATACCTGAAGAAACCACATTAAGCCGGTAGCAACTTAACAATGAGATCAAAGTATTCTCAGGTATAAGTTAGCACATATCATGAAGCTAGCAAAATGGGGATCTTGCAAGGAGGGATCAAATCATCTTACACGCCCTTTTCCTTTTGCTCTGCAATATGCTTGTGAACTCTCATACTCTTACTTCTCATGGGCTCGATCATCTTCTCTGTCTCTTCAATTATCTGTTTTGGCAGTTGAACCTCTATGGCCTCAAACCAATCTCTTAGTTTCATTTTTCCTAAATCTACTTCTACCCTCTCTACATTCTTATTGCTCCAGCCCTGCTCAACCTTTTCCTCATCACATCCATCATCTAATGTCGCAATTCCAGCCTCCTCGACCTTGCACTCACTTTCCTTTTCATGACATTCTTCTTCATTTTCTTGTAAGTTTTCTGTCTCTCCATCTTCTCTAACAGTACAGTTCAGGTCATCTTTTCCTAAGGTGCTCTTCTTCCTCAACTCGATCTCCACCTGCTCTACCCTCTTAGACCCATCACCAACTCTCTCATCTTCTTTATCACATTTGTCATCACTTCTTTCACTGCAACCTTCTTCATTTCCATTTTCTTCTTCAATATCTTGTAAGTTCTCTGTTTCTCCAGCTTCTCTAACAGTGCAGTTCAGGTCATCTTCTTCAACAGTGCTCTTCTTCCTTAACTCAATTTCCACCTGCCCTACTCTCCTAGATCCATCACCATCTCTCTCATCTTCTTTATCACATTTATCATCACTTCTTTCACTGCAACCTTCCTGAGTTTCATTATCATTTTCTTCTTCAATATCTTGTAAGTTCTCTGTCTCTCCATCCTCTCTAGCAGTACAGTTCAGGCCATATTCTCCTTTTGTGCTCTTCGTCCCTAACTCAGTCTCCACCTGCTCTACCCTCTTAGACCCATCACCTTCCCTCTCATCTTCTTTATCACATTTGTCATTACTTCTTTCACTGCAACCTTCCTGAGCTTCATTATCCTTATCTTCTTCAACATGACGGTTCTTCAAAACCTCTTCTCCGGCATCATCATTTCTAGTTTCCATCTCCACAACGCTCTTGGACGGCTCCTGATCCACTTTCTTCCTCTTTGCACGGCTTTTCCGGGCTTGGTTCAGGACCATCTCCAACTCCAGAAAAGAATCTCCACCAAGTTCAGTCTTCTTGCTTCTGGTAGACCTAGTAGTTCTCATCTCATTTTTAACTTCTAAAGCAGTATTCTCACTCTTTACATTCTCCAATCCAAAACATGCATTTTCAATCTGCTTGCTCCTTGCCACTCTCTTCCTGCTTTTGACCTCTGAGATTTCCACTGCCTTGGGAGTATCCTCAACTTCCAATTTGATTGAATTCAAACCCAATTTCTGCACACTCTCACTGTTCTTACCTCTCCGAGCCCTAGAGTTGCCTTTTTTCTCCTCCGGAATTTCTTCTTCCTTCGCAATTGAACTACTTGCGTTCTTCCGGGGCCTCCCAACCCTTTTTTTCTCCTCCAAAACTTCTTCTTCCTTCGTAATTGCACTGCCTGCGTTCTTCCGAGGCCTCCCAACCCTAGTTTTGACCTTCTTCTCAATTTCCACCTCCAATTCCTCTTCTTTATCGGCGATATCGTCCAGATTCTTTTTCCTCGAAGCCCTAGTTCTCTTGGGCAGTTCATTTTCCTCTTGCTTCGACGATCCACGCGTGCGCTTTGGTTTCTCCTGAACCGACTCAATAGGATCCGGATCCGGATCCGAAACAGCAACACGCTTGTTGTTCTTCCTTGGCCTGGGCGGAAGCTTATGCTCCTGCGGCGCCTGAACAACATCACTCACAAAGTTCACCAAAATGGAAGTATACTCACCAAGCTTGATTTCGTCTCCATGGCTAAGATTGACAGGCGTATCTTGGTCGATAGTGTCCGAGTTCAATATGGTGCCGTTGGAAGACCCAAGATCGTGGATTATCCAGTTCTCGGAATCGGAAACGATCCGGAGATGCTTGGTGGAGATTCCGGCGTCTTTGATGGCGATTTCATTACCACGGACGATTCGACCAATCCGGATAGTGGATCCGGGTTTAAACCCTAGAGAATCGCCAGCTCTTGGACCCTGGGTGAAGTCAAGCTTCAGTAATGGCGGAACCATCGTTTACTAAGCGTCTCGGCGAAGCTTTTTTTTGGCTTTGATTCAAATGGGAATTTGAAATTTCGGATTATGTTAAACTCAAAATCGAACGGAACAGTGCTGAAACACAGAAACCCTTTCAAGCCCAGTGGGCTTTTTCATTTGCACTATGATTCTATGAATATAAGATCCAGTCCATAAGTTACCAAAATATCTTTTTGTTACAGCCCATCCAAGTTTTTTTTTTTGTTTTTTGGTGATATTTATATAATGATATTTTATTAATGCTTTGTTTTTTTTTTGTAAAATGATAATTTATGCATATTTTTTTTTTCAAATTGAAACAAGAAATGAGTTATAGTTGATTTATATATGTAAGTAAAAAATCCAAAACAAAGGGAGTAAAAATATTCATTTCACGATCTAATAATCTCCAAAATAAATAAAATTATAATTTTCGCAATATTGTTTCAGTGGACAACTGAAGAAATTCAACTTATCAACATTACTACACAATTTTGTTTAAAAAATATCCTATCTTGGTAACTGGAAGTGATGTTGATATAGTTAACATATAACTTGTGGCTCATGTGCATCCTAATCTCTTCATTAAAGGCTTACTTGTCATATTCTCATTGGTTGCTACAGATTCACCACTTTGACATGTCAGCTTTTTTCATCTCATCCACCTACAAAACAACAATTTAAACCAAAATGAGTTTCACTTTTGTGTCTTTGTTTGTCTAATCTACTTTTTACTTAGACCATATGTTTCAATTTGATAAGAAAAGTTTCCATTGTTGCTTAAAAGCAAAAACTGAAATACCAAAAGATTCAAAAAAAAAAAATAGTAAAAATAAATAGACAAAATCTGTGAATCTTATCCACGTCAGCTCACAGGTCCTACAGAGAAAGCTACAATAGGAAGAGAAGATGTTTACACTTAGAGAAGATTGCTTGGTCTAGATTTGTTCTCCTTTGTGATTGATATGAGAAAAAAACTTTTTTGATGATTAATGAAACCTTGTTCAAAACTCAGACAGCCACAAGATGATCCAACTACTTTTAACAACCACTAACTCTGCGCCACGTGTACATCTCCAAAGATTCTATCTCTCCCCTCTCAGTCTCACCACCAAGATATAGTCTCATTAGCCTTGCCTCCTTTCTAATTACAATCTCTCCTTTTGCCAATAATCATTGCTTAGAAAAAACACAGCTTCTTCTTAGTAATAATGTTGAAAGAAGAGAGTAACGAGAGTGGTTCTTGGGCACGAGCATGTGACACTTGTCGTTCAGCCGCCTGCACTGTCTACTGTGAAGCTGACTCTGCCTACTTGTGCACCACCTGTGATGCTCGAGTTCACGCAGCCAATCGTGTTGCTTCTCGCCATGAACGTGTTCGTGTCTGTCAGTCATGTGAGTCTGCCCCGGCTGCGTTTTTGTGTAAAGCAGACGCTGCGTCTCTTTGCACAACTTGTGATGCTGAGATTCATTCCGCAAACCCACTAGCTAGACGTCATCAACGAGTTCCGATTCTTCCATTATCTGCAAACTCTTGCAGCTCCATGGCCCCAAGTGAGACTGATGCAGATAACGATGAGGATGACCGCGAGGTGGCTTCGTGGTTACTGCCTAATCCAGGGAAAAACAGCGGTAATCAGAACAATGGGTTCTTGTTTGGTGTTGAGTACCTTGATCTTGTGGATTACAGCTCCAGCATGGACAACCAATTTGAAGATCATCAGTACAGTCACCACCAGAGGAGCTTTGGAGGAGATGGAGTTGTGCCACTTCAAGTTGAAGAATCAACAAGTCACCTTCAACAAAGCCAACACAACTTTCAGTTGGGTATCAACTATGGCTTCTCCTCAGGAGCTCACTACAACAACTCCTTAAAGGACCTAAACCATAGCGTAAGCTTTTTATATACATGCCAGCTCTTTGGTTCATAATAATCAGTATTTATGTTGTTTCATCACAAGTATGCTTCCCTGTTCATCGATTATTTACTCCTATTACCTCGGAAGATTGAAACTGTCTTTGTTTCTGTCATTAGGCATCCGTTTCATCAATGGACATCAGTGTTGTGCCAGAGTCAACAGCAAGTGACATAACAGTCCAACACCCAAGAACAACTAAAGAGACGACAGACCAACTCGCTGGTCCTCCTACTCAGGTAGTGCAGCAGCTTACTCCAATGGAGAGGGAGGCTAGGGTCCTGAGATACAGAGAGAAGAAGAAGACGAGGAAATTTGACAAGACAATAAGGTATGCTTCAAGAAAGGCATATGCAGAGATAAGACCACGGATCAAGGGCCGATTTGCAAAGAGGATAGAAATTGAAGCTGAGGCTGAAGACATCTTCTCAACATCGCTAATGTCTGAGACTGGATATGGAATTGTTCCTTCCTTCTGAACTCATATGGCGAAGATGGACTAGATTGCATGCTGTAAATTACTTCTAGTTTGTATTTCTACAAGTTTTTACCACAGTTTCGCATATGGATCCAATAGTTTTGTGACTTTTGTCTAACTATTACGAGTTTAATCAGATATGTTTCTATAGCTGCAGTTGTTTAAGCAACATCTCTCTACATAGTCTAATTGGTAAAATCTTATCGTATGGAACAGTGCCTATCACTCTAATTGAATTGGTGCCACATGAAAGAGATATGCATCACTATGAGTAGCTGTTAGTAGAAAACTAAGCGGATTTCACGTTGTCACTTCACAAGAAAGACAACGCCTAGTAGGTTCAAAGTAAATACCTTTTGATTACTTTCTAGCAGTAGAATCTTCTGTTTCTTGACACTTTCCAGATCACTTGAACACGTAAATCGCAGGACAATTCCATTTATGCCAACTCATTCCCTGAGGAAGGATTATTCAGAATAACATGACTTGTAATTAAAACAATTAAACTGATAACATAGAACAACTTTGTCCACACAAACTTAAGAAACTCCAAAAACCAACATGCAAATCAGCAATAATTGTCATTTTCGGTTAATGGGAATCATAACTTAACTTATTCAGCCAAGTGGGAGTAAGATAGTGAAGAAACTGAGAACCCTAGGGCCAGCACCGAATATACACCAGCAACTAGCATAGGATGTTGATGATGATGCCTATGCCAAAGTAAAGAAAGATAATTCTTTCTCTTTACCTTTTGGAATAAAGGACTATACTTTCTCACTTTTTATGGTATGTGCTAACAGTAAAGGATGATAGAGCCACCAAAAAGAAAACACGACATTTTAACTAAGCCTTACTGTTTTCCCATCTAGAAATGTTCACAGAGTTCAACATGAGAATGCATAACTTCATACTTTGATGTTTAAGCTAATGGTGTCTTTGTTTACCACACTCAAAAACACTGGAACAAAAGTACTGTATCCCCTAATTTATCAGAGATCTGAACACAGTGATTACTTACCAAAATAAAGAGCTTATATCACAACCAATATGTGTAACTTTGAAATGAAATGTCCTAATAGTAAGACAAATTACAAAATTATGCATAGTATACTACTTTCCTATAACATCATAAGATTTTTATAAAAGTGAGTGATAGTCTAAGTGGAATCATAGAAACCGTCAGACATACAAGAAATAATAAAAACCAATATAAGACTTAATTGAGTGTTAACACAGGATATACTATATAGTAATGGGCTCGAGACCTCACGTGAAAGTGCATCAAAGTGACGACCCTTTCCAAAAAGGTTACCGCACTTTTCCAGATATCTAATCAACTTAAAAAATCATAGCCATAAAGTTGAGAAGGGATGGAAAAAGCGTTTACCAGACTTTTTAAAAAGCAAAAACTCTTTTCATCAGTTGCATAGAGCTCAAGCAAGCCACACCCACTAGAGCGCCGTAGATTCCTCTTACTATGGACCACAAAATAGACGGATTCGATCGATCCACTGATCCAAAAGCGTCTAACTGAAGCTACTTCTTAGAGTATCAGATTATCGTGTTTAGAGATCAGGTTTGCAAATCAAAGATATTGGCAGTTGCATTCACATAACAATGGCAGATGACCAAAGAAGAAAATCGAAGTACTAGCAGTTACTAAAATCATGATGTAGCACAAAGTGAGTTATAGACAGACAATTAAGAAAACATGCGCCTTAAAAATCTCATTCAAGGAAGCTTTTATTTTTTTTGGAGCCTTTTACAATTCCTACTACGCCTGTAAAGAAACATAAAGTTGTACATATTACCTCATCAATGAGTCCGCAAAGTTACTCCAAGTGTTTGCAAACTCTCAGTCACTCAGTTTTGTCACCTTTGTCTGATAACACAAGAGCATTCCGTTTTCTTTTGTCACATTTATGGTAAGACAAGGAGGTCTATGGAATTGAAGGAAAAGAAACTGGCACGGCCTTCAACGATATGACAGAACATCAATGGTGAAGCTACACGCTTTTGCAGGACTTCAATTTCTTCTTTACTTGGTGGAGAGTCTCTGTATAAAAGAAAGAGTACATTGACTAAGATTTGTTATGAGAAAAAATAGCTTTTGTCGTTTGAAGTAAGAAAAAAAAAAGCTTACCCCGAGAAGCAAGCGACAAAGCTTGGTTCACCAGGAGAAGACTTCTTGAAGTGGCTGTTTGGCAAATACACATCAAACACCGGTCTTGCATCACAGATCTGCATATCACTCAGGAGTTTGGTAATAGAGTCTTTGTCTTGGGAAAATTCTCCAGCACAAAGTGACTCATCTTCATCACTTGGTGTAGTATTCACAACATCATTTGTAGTCCAAGGAACTCCATGCCTGCCTAGAATGTAACCTAGACCCTTTAAGTATCTGTAAACCTCGTAGTTTTCCCAACAGCAGCCACATTTTCCCTCTGCAATTTCCCTATACAAGTCCTTCAGTGAGATCACTACGTCATCCTCATCACCCAAGAGCTGCAACTCTCCAATTTCACTCAAATACCTGCAAAAGGAACAACAGAATTCGAAAAGGGAAGAAACTTCATCAGGTGGTTTGAGTAAAAACTGCAATCTTAAATAGAAAACTTGTAATGTTTCGTTTGCCACATACACAGCCTCTTCTATGAAACAAAATGTTTTTCCGGTACGAATGATTCCAGTTGTCGTCCAAAGTTTCCCCCTTCTGACCTCAACTTCGGCCATTCCTAATTCAGCAATCCAACGAGCCTTGGAAGATCCTACTCTACATTGTTCAAACACAAAAACGCGATTGTAAGAAACATTAGCTTTAACGCGGACAATCATATCCTGAAATAAGTCGCTCCACCTGAATTGTAATTTGGGCACTGGAGCACCGAATTGATATTCTTCGTCATCATAGCATAGTAAACCAGCTTCTTTTTCGCTCAACGGAGAACCTTCCCAGTCTTTCTCCTCCATAGCTGAGATCAGTTTCCCTCGTCAAGAGGAAACGAAGTCGCTGAGGCAATTCGTCGAACACTTGGCGTTAAGGTAAAGATATATTTCTTAAAGTCTTCAACTTTCACAGGTCGTACGAGAATTCGGTAATAGAGCTACTCCACGCGAACGAATTACCCCAACGGGACGACGACGATCATCGGAAGTTTGATTTTCCGTTTTGCTAGCGACTCGAAAATTGCAATGACGTAATAGCAGAATGATGGCGTCACCTTAAGTACTTTGTCGGAAAATTTTATATGGGCCGAGCAAATAACTAAGCCCATCTAATAAACACCCAATTAATAAAGGAGCCAATGAAACCAAAAGTAAAAAATTATAACCAGAGATTTCAGTTTTAATCTTTTAAAGAAAAAGAAACAGAAAGATGAGAAAATTCAGTTCTACAATCATAATAAATAAGCGAAGGTATTTCACACATTGAGGAAACAAACATTCTGTGTGAAATTATTATTGAAGGAGAAGAATACAAAGAGGAGGAGAGATCTCAGATCTTGGATTGTCTTGCAATCTTGAACCACTCGGTGTGGAAAGATCCTTCCACATCAGTCCTTTCATATGTATGAGCACCAAAGTAGTCTCTCTGTGCTTGGACTAGATTTGCCGGCAATCTCTCTCTCCTGTAAGAATCAAAGTAGGCTAGACTCGCAGACATACCCGGTGTGCTGATACCCGAGTTGATAGCTAAGCAGACGACTCTTCTCCAAGCGGACTGTCTCTCGATAATCTCTTTCGCAAACTCAGGGTCGACCAAGAGGTTAGCTAGCTCTGCGTTCCTGTCATAAGCTTGCTTGATCCTGTCTAGGAAGATTGCTCTGATGATGCAGCCTCCTTTCCAGATTCTAGCTAACTCACCTAGCTTCAAGCCCCACCCTTTTTCAATGCTCTTGGCACGGATAAGGTTCATGCCTTGTGCGTAGCTGCAGATTTTGGATGCGTAAAGAGCCTTCCTCACGTCATCGACTAGCTGCTTCTTGTCAACTTTCTGATCGGTCAAGATATCTCCAAACCCACCTGCCTTGAAGACTTTAGCTGCTTGCACACGTTCATCTTTAAGCCCGCTGAGGAACCTCGCATCAAGAGAGGATTCAATGGTGGGGGCAGGAACAGATAGCTCAGCAGCTTGCTGCACGGTCCACTTTCCTGTACCTTTCATGCCGGTTTTGTCCAAAACCTTGTCAACCAAATGCCCATCTCCCTTATCGTCCTTGATCCCGAAAATATCCGCTGTGATCTCTACCAAGAAACTCTCAAGCTCACCTTTGTTCCAGTCAGAGAAGACACTGTGAAGCTCCTCATTCGTTAATTTACCAACAGATTTCAGGACGTCATAAGCTTCTGCAATCAGCTGCATATCACCGTACTCGATCCCATTGTGGACCATTTTGACAAAGTTTCCAGACCCGCCCTTACCGATGTAAGTGACGCAGGGACCACTATCCCTAACCTGAGCAGCAACCTTGAGAACAATGTCTTCGATATTCTTGTAGGCTTCATAAGAGCCTCCAGGCATCATAGATGGGCCATTACGAGCACCTTCTTCACCGCCAGAAACTCCCATTCCAAGGTAGAGGAAACCGTTCTCAGCCACGGCTTTCTCTCTCCTCTCAGTGTTCTCATACCATTCATTACCACCATCAACAATGCAATCACCCTTCTCCAAATAAGCAGAGAGGGTCTTGATAGTCTGGTCAACGGGAGCACCAGCCTTAACAAGCATGATAATAACGCGTGGCTTCTGAATGGACTTGACAAAAGACTCGGGGTCATGGAAGCCGTAAAGCGGAAGATTGCCTTCCTTTTTGGCTCGTTCGACGGTCTCATCAACTTTGGAAGTTGTTCTGTTATAAACAGAGATTGGGAAGCCTTTCTCAGCAATGTTGAGAGCTAGGTTCTGACCCATCACAGCCAGTCCAGCTAGACCTATTCTTGTAGGTTGAGCAGCCATTTTTGTTCGTCTTCTTCTCTCTGCCAAAATATAAACACATCACAAATCTCAAAGAAGCTAAACTTTGCGTACATGAAACAAACAGCTTTATGCATGATTGATCTAAAATAAACGCAAAGATTCAAACCAGGAATAAGATCTCCAAGATCTTAGAACACAGAGTCAATACATCAACATGACAAATCTCAATTTTTTTTGTTTACGATCGTAGCGTAGCATACACTAACACCAAGAGCGAAGAGTCGATTGCTTAAAATACCGATCTAAACAACATAATAATGAGAATTTCCAATGGAATCATAGATCACGACACAAAAAATGCTGGATCACATAAATGTTTAATCACTTTTTCCGAAATTTCGTAACACATAATTTATATCGAAAAGCGATTGGAACAATCAGATACCAAACAAAAATGATTGGGAAAAAAAAAACAAAAGGAGAGAGAGAGAGTGATCGGAGAAACAAACCTGTTTGTATCTCCGGAGATGGAATTGAGATTATGCAAGGAAAAAAATAAGAGGAAAAGACGTGAAGGAGGAGAGTAAAATTGCAGAGATTAGTGATGTTTGTTTGTAGCTGATATATAGCAAATGAACGGTCTGATTCGCACCACCACCAAAGTAATTATTATTATTTTCCTTTTTAGTTTTAAAGTAATGTCAAAATTGGCCACTCTGCGTTAGGTAAGAAAAGGGTGGGTGGTGGTAGTCGTTGGATCTTGAATTGTTTTTTCTTGACATCATATTGGTCATTGGATCTTCATTTCTACAGAAACGTAAGAAAATATATTCTTTCTATACCGTGTATTTGTTTGAAAACTTGAAGACCAAACTCAGTTTACACATCACATTTAAACCGGGTTAAACCCAAATAGTGAAGATTCACTTGCAAGAGAATCCTAATTCATCACCAAACCAATCCTTTTCGCAATTACACTTTATACGTTCATACCTGTATTATGCAGCATTCTAGAAAGGGAAGAATTAAGGAAAAATCATTGCCAGCTACACGAACTATACGCCAACACATCACCACACATGCAGACTATTTTAATGTTTCGCTAACTACACGAACTATTGGTATTACATACGGACATCCCCGAACTATCATCGGTTATGTGTGCAACACCATAACCATCATTTCCAAATAATATAAATGTCTTGTTAACTACACGAAGTATTTCTTTTTTTTGTCAACTACACGAAGTATTTTCATCAATTTTTTTTTAAAACTAATAAGTTAAATAAAACTATATAATATATCAATGTAAATTATATATGTACATTATAACTATTCTAACTTTAAAATTTTAATGTAATAAAGACTAAACTAGTTCCATAAAAAATATATGTGTTCATTAAAAATTTGTTAATTAACTTAAACCTATAATGAACATGTATAATTTAATTAAGTGACACTTTTAAAAATTTAGTTAAATTAATTTCATATAAAACATATGTGTGCATTAAAAATTAGTTAATTAATTTAACTTAAAATTATAAGGGATACTGCATATGTAGAATTTAAACTTTAAAAGTTATAATGCATATATATAATTAACAATAGTGTATTATTTACTTTTAGTTATTTGTTATTTTTTCATTTTGTAATTTAGTTTTAAAAAAATGATGGAAATATTTCGTGTAGTTAACAATACATTTATATTATCTGGAAATGATGGTTATGGTATATATAATTTACATTGATATATTATATAGTTTTATTTAACTTATAGTGATGTATAATTTAACTAAGTGACTATTTTAAATTTTTAACAATTTAATATAATAAATATTAAATTAGTTAAATTAATTTAACTTAAAAGTATAATGCATTAAAAGTTATAATATATATATATATATATATATATATATATAATTTATAATAGTGTAATATTTACTTTTTAGTTATTTTTTATTTTTTAATTACTTTAAAAAAAAAAATTTGATGGAAAATACTTCGTGTAGTTGACAAAAAAAAAGAAATACTTCGTGTAGTTAACAAGACATTTATATTATCTGAAAATGATGGTTATGGTGTTGCACACATAACCGATAATAGTTCGGGGATGTCCGTATGTAATACCAATAGTTCGTGTAGTTAGCGAGACATTAAAATAGTCTGCATGTGTGGTGATGTGTTGGCGTATAATTCGTGTAGCTGGCAATGATTTTTCCAAGAATTAACCTTTAGAGTTTCTTCTATATGATTCTTAGGCAGACAAGTATGAAAGAAAGACAACAAAGAGAGACATTGTAGCTTGGGAGAACATATTGCTGTGAAGAGTTTACAAATTAAAAATAAAAAGACCAAAACTATGACAGAAGAAATAACAAGCAAATTACTTTTTTTGTAACCCTATATAAAGATAAACGTATCATCAGTTAAAGAATGCCCAGAAAGACTTCAACACATCGATCCGAGGTTACCTCTTCTCTGCATTTTTTCCTCTTTCCGGTTTGGTTTTTTTTTCCGCCACTCTCTCTTTAGAGACCAAAATTGCACATCTGCACAAACTCCATTTCGTTATCAACATATTTAGTCCAGAGAGACTTGTATTGGTTCATCGCAATGTCAAGCCATGGTTTCATGTTTCCATTGTAATGAATCACTCCTGCATTTCTGATCTCGTCCATGCTCACTCCCGGGTTGTAGCCTAACCCAAGCACATGCCATGATTTGTCCAATGATTTCGTCTTTGAATAGAATGTGATCAACCCCGGAGGTAGAGTTCCCAATTTCCAGAGAGTTCTGTCTTCATTCTGCTCGAAAAAAATTAGAGTCAACAGAAGATAAGTACATAAAGAGATTTGGTATGTCTAGGTTACTAAAAAAGAATCATACATTACACAGTTAAACAATGGACTTACCAAGTTCTGCCAGTAATGGTATTGATCGGTGCATTTCTCGCGTCTCCAGGCATTGAGGTCGAATATATTCATTCCAAAGGCCCAAGCACAAGCATTGGGGTTAAAGCTCCCTTTGATCAAAGGGTGGCTGAAGTTTAGGTATTGACCATATCGATGAAAAGAGCCAAAGCATGTCTCAACAGCTCCATTCACCTTGCCATCCAAGTTGATTTTCCATAAACCAGTCACATCTTTCTGCACCACAACATCATCGTCCAAGAACAAGATCTTATTCAGCTTCGGATACATCTCTGGTAAGTAAAATCTGAGATGGTTCAACATTGAGAGATATTTCGGGTTCTTGAACTTGAGGTTATGGGAATCTTTAGTTGCGTTCTCAGCTTGATTCTCAAAGTAAAACTTCTGCAACTTGGCAGACTCGAGCTGCCTTAAGACAGGTGCATACGAAGAGTTCAAGAACTTGAAATCCTCCACGGATTTGATCTCAACATGGGCACCACGGTCCAAAGGACGCATCTTAAACCAGACCTTCATGGCTGCAAGATTCATCCGATCAGTCACCACATGGAAGACATGCTTCCATGGCTCCTCGGCGTTCATCACAACCGATCTCACCACAACAGACACAGCAATCACATTGTCAGAGAAAATCGCATAGTGGTAAAGAGTTGGATCCTCCGCGGCTGGGTCAGGTGGGGCATCCTTGTACTTCTCAGGATTAGAGATCCTCTCTCCTACAAGCCTCATGGCCAAACAATGAAGACTTTTAGGAACCGACTTGGCTGAAATCAAGCTAGCAACAGCGCCGTTTTTCTTAGCCTTTGTCAACTGTTCTTGGACAGCAAAGATTGTATCTTTCAACTTCTGGATTTTAAGCTGAGTATCATAACTCTCTTTAGACTCAACGATCATCATCCTCGCAGTCTTCACCTTATCTTTCACTTCTTTCTCAAGCTGCCTAAACGAATCCTCCTCAAGAGCATTACCACTATCAGAGACGGCAGATTTCAAACCAGGTTTCGACTGCAAATCCGAGAAGTTGATAGCCAAATCTTCAAACAGCTTAAGCTGCTTGGAAGCATCAAGCTTTAGCTTCCTAGCGTAAGCAGCATACGCATTCACCAGTGTGAGATGATCAGTGGCTTGCTTGTGAATCAGATCCAACCTTGTTTTCAATGGATCCGATTGCAAAGCCAAAAACGTCCTCTGCATATACGCGTTTCCCATACTCGGCAATGTCTAACAAAAACCAGACACGAGCAATCAGAATTCTCAACATAATAGAAGCTCAGATTCATTTCTAAATTTGTTCGAACGAATCAATCAAAAGCGAAAACAGGAGAATTTAAGAAGGAGCTCAGAGATAGAGATGCGTACATGATCCTGATGAGGTTGATGACGAGAAGAGTTAAGAACGACGGAGAAGGTGGCAAGGAAGAGAAAAGAGAACAAAGCGGAGATAAAGATCCGGTAAGAGAAGAAACTACGAAGTCCGGTAGATTGGCCTGATCCGACGCCGCCCCGGCCTCCACGGAAGGCCACCGCCATTTCCACCGATACTCTTCACCTTCACAGGTCAGTTGTTTCCAGATCGGGAATTTTTTGGTTTCGATTCGTCGGTGAGGTTCTTGCTTCCTTGTCCTCCCAGAGACAGATGACTGAGTTAACCTCTGGAGTGTGACGGATAGATCTCAAACATTTAGTGAAGAATACACGTTAATAAATTTAATCATATAACCAAAAATATAATTAAACAATTAATTTAGTGCAGAGGTAACTAACATATTAATTAATCCAAATTAAAATAAGAAATTATGTAATGGAGATGGTGACGACTGACGAGTGAGGCGACCAAAGATTTCCGCGTCGGTGCGATCAAATCCAAACTTTTTTTATTTCACATTCACACCTTTTATTTTAATTTATTTTATGTCTCACACCCCTTATTCGTTTTCTTCTTATATGGGCTTTTAAGTATATAACAGGCTGCATATGGGCCATATATCAGCCTAATTCAATTAAACGACAAACGGCACGTAGTTCTGAATTAATAAAACATCACGTTGTTCAGTGTTTTTCCCAAGGACCAAAGTCTCACAAAGAGTTTGAACGGGAAAAATGGATTTTCATACCCGTACTATCTGCACCGTGGATTTTCATACCTGGACAATTTCGTAGGGTATTTTACAACCTGAACTTCAATAAAATTTGAATCTCATACATATACTTGATACAACGGGCAAAAATCGGAGTCAATCTAACGGGTGTTAGTCAACTCCGTTACGGTGCTGAGTCATCGTACACGTGTACGCTGACGTGTATCAAAACGACGTCGTTTTCATACCCGTACTGTCTGCGCCGTGGATTTTCATACCTGGACAATTTTGTAGGGTATTTTACAACCTAAACTTCAATAAAATTTGAATCTCATACCCTATACTTGATACAACGTGCAAATATCGGAGTCAATCTAACGGGTGTTAGTCAACTCCGTTACGGTGCGTATCGAAACGACGTCGTTTTGATATGTGTTCTCAAAGTTTTAAATTTTTTTGCAAAACTGGGGACTCGAACCCGCGAGCCGTACTCACATGGGAAGCACCGAATACCAACTGATCCCACAACATTCATCGAGTATTCCTCAATCTTTTTAACTTATAAACCCAAAAAGTTATGCGAAGCCGTAGTCACATGGTAAAACTTTGTTCATGCCTAATTTCTGAGAAGAAGAAGAAGAAATGAGAAAACGATTTCTCAATTCGAAAGTATTCATAATTTCCTCCCAATTTAAAACGATTGACTACGGCTCGCGGGTTCAATGAACGTTGTGGGATCAGTTGGTATTCGGTGCTTCTCATGTGACTACGGCTCGCGGGTTCGAGTCTCCAATTTTGCAAAAAAATTTAAAACTTTGAGAACACATATCAAAACGACGTCGTTTCGATACGCACCGTAACGGAGTTGACTAACACCCGTTAGATTGACTCCGATTTTTGCACGTTGTATCAAGTATAGGGTATGAGATTCAAATTTTATTAAAGTTTAGGTTGTAAAATACCCTACATAATTGTCCAGGTATGAAAATCCACTGCGCAGACAGTACAGGTATGAAAACGACGTCGTTTTGATACACGTCAGCGTACACGTGTACGATGACTCAGCACCGTAACGGAGTTGACTAACACCCGTTAGATTGACTCCGATTTTTGCCCGTTGTATCAAGTATAGGTATGAGATTCAAATTTTATTGAAGTTCAGATTGTAAAATACCCTACGAAATTGTCCAGGTATGAAAATCCACGGTGCAGATAGTACGGGTATGAAAATCCCTTTTTCCCGAGTTTGAACAAATAAGAGATGGAATGGAACCTTGGTCTGCACAGCTCAAACAAGGTTTCAACATTTCTTGGTATACAGATTGCAGCCGATTTGTTCTTTAGAATTCAGCCAACAACTTGTTACTTGATCCGGGAAATACAAAAACCTACAATGAGATCAGACATATAGTGGAACATACCAATGAAACAGGACGTAGATAAGACTTTTACTTTTTACAAACTCCATTGAATCTGTAAGAAACTCTGGATTCCTGCAACAATACAAGCAACCCAAGAGTCCTGCAACAATACTTTCACTGAGGTCTGAGAGATCAAGTAGCATCGCAGAGATCTATAATCCAAGCCATTACAAAATAGTTTTGCTCTATCCACATCATAGCAAACTAGCATAAGATTCCAATAACTACCAATGAAGCAAGAAGCTAAATTATATCAATGATTCATCTTGCAAGATATAGGTTCAAAGTTTACCGTGATTTATTTCACAAAAAGGAATATATACAACATCAACATTATCACATTCACGATAAGTACTTACCATAAAACAAAGTGGTTCAGGGATCTTGCCTCTGAAACCATGTCTATTAACTTGAAGAACAGATACTTTATATTCAATTAACTATATCTACCCGGCAAGTTCCTTGCCAAACCGGTACCGCTCCTTTCTGAGCTCTTGTGCCTTTCGTAATCAATATCATCAGTAGGCAGCTCATACCGACAAACCGGACAAGTATTCCTTATCCCCAACCAAGGCATAATACAGTCTCCATGATAGAAATGACTACAAGGAAGCCTCCTTACTTTCTCTTCCACTACCATTTCATCTTTGCATACCGCACAAACGATGTTCCCTTTGTTTAACTCTTCCACTGTAAGCTCCACAACTGGAAGATCCTGAATTACACTTTTGGCTGCCGGAGGATTTCCCCTGATTCCAGTCTCGTTATCAAACATTTGCCCAAGAATAGCATCAGCATCATAATGTCCACTATGATTATCATCAAATTCATCCAAACTAGATAGATACAGGTAATAATTCGGATCGATATCATCAGGGTTTAGCATGATTCCTTCAGCTTGTTCGATATAATTAACAACATTGTTAACAGTTAACAAAACCTGCCAGTCCAGTTCATGATCTTCTTCATCATCCCTTGATAGTGAAGACAATTCTTCTTCTTCTTCGTCCTCTTCTTCGGGTCCACTAAAAGCTGTCCAGTTAATCGCGTTCTGAACCTCCTCCCATTCTTCATCAGCCAATACGGTTCCCTCTCCGAAGAGGTTATCCCAGACAGGAGGAAGATCCGTACCAACCTCGACCCGACCCGAATCATTTGCACTATTCCCAATACTATCCTCCGAGGTAAAATCAAACACGCCTTCTTCATAATCGGAATCGGAATCGATACCGGTCACTCGAAGCCCTTGCTCCTCTGAATCACCCGGTTGCTGATCCGACCCGGATCCAGATACACATCTAATCCCCAAAACTATCTCCTCCTCCTCTTCCTCGTCTTCCTTGGGGTCATAAAACCCCCAAATATTAAAATCACCGGCGGTCAGCCCTTCCGATTCCAAGTACTCAGCCGCGTCAACATCGGAAGAATCTCGATCGAAGAAATCTATGGGACAGCTGTAGGGATCTGGCTCTGAATCCGAGTAAGAACCTGATCCAGAACCTGAAATTGGTCCTGAGAAAGGGAAATAAGGATTGCAATCGATGTCCCTGTCGTAGAACGAAGAGTAACGGACGAGCAAGTTCGTGGCCTCCGGTATGAAAATCGAATCGTCTACGGCTACACCGTCGCCTTCCACCTCTTCCTCAAGGTTGATTGCGGAACCGGGCTTCGTCGACGCCATTGGTGTGTTTCAGAGAAAAGTAAAAAAAAAAAAAGGAAAAAGAAAATTTCAGAGGGAAAATCGTATGATTTTGTATATACCGGATATAATATGCTGACGTGTATTTGCAGGTGGTTTAAGACAAAAAGTTTTGACGTAGAAAAAAGAGATAACGCCGTTGCCGGGGATCGAACCCGGGTCACCCGCGTGACAGGCGGGAATACTTACCACTATACTACAACGACCTTGTTGGCATGGTAATGCTTATTAGTTATTTCATAACAGTGAAAGTCCAAACTGAGATTCACCGTGTATAAACCGGTTGAGTAACAGCTAGTTGATATTTTAGTCGGTTTACATATTTTTTAAACCGAGTAACCCGAACCAAATCAATTGTAATCGTTTCGATCCCGCCATCGTTATGAGTCATGGCGGAGAATCTCAGATTCTTGCGTATGAACAGAGCAGTGGTTTCACTCAATCGTTGTCTAACAGAGAAAATTTCATACCGAAGAGTTCCAAGCTTTTCTTATTTCACTGATTTTCTGAATCAAGTGAACTCGATTAGCACGACCAACTTTTCGTTTGTTTTCAAGGAATGTGCGAAGCAAGGAGCGTTAGAGTTAGGCAAGCAAGCTCATGCTCATATGATTTTATCTGGGTTTCGTCCGACTACATTCGTGCTCAATTGTTTGCTGCAGGTGTACACAAATTCAAGAGATTTCGTGTCTGCTTCTATGGTGTTCGACAGAATGCCGCTGAGAGATGTTGTTTCGTGGAACAAAATGATAAATGGTTACTCGAAGAGCAATGACATGGTTAAAGCGAGTTCTTTCTTCAATATGATGCCTGTGAGAGATGTTGTGTCTTGGAACTCAATGCTTTCTGGGTATCTTCAGAACGGTGAGACTTTGAAATCTATCGAGGTTTTCGTTGACATGGGGAGAGCAGGAATTGAGTTTGATGGTAGAACTTTTGCAATTATTCTTAAAGTGTGTTCCTGTTTAGAGGATACCAGTTTAGGAATGCAGATTCATGGGATTGTTGTTCGAGTGGGTTGTGATACTGATGTGGTTGCTGCAAGTGCGTTGTTGGATATGTATGCAAAAGGCAAGAGATTTGTCGAGTCTCTTAGAGTGTTTCAAGGTATTCCCGAGAAGAACTCTGTCTCGTGGAGTGCTATAATCGCAGGTTGTGTTCAGAATAACTTGTTGTCCCTTGCTTTGAAGTTTTTCAAGGAGATGCAAAAGGTAAATGCTGGAGTGAGCCAGTCAATTTACGCTAGCGTCTTGAGGTCATGTGCTGCGTTATCCGAATTGAGGTTAGGCGGTCAGTTACATGCTCATGCCTTGAAGTCAGATTTTGCAGCAGATGGTATAGTGAGGACGGCGACATTGGACATGTACGCAAAGTGTGATAATATGCAAGATGCTCAAATTTTGTTTGACAAGTCAGAAAATCTTAATAGACAATCTTATAACGCAATGATTACTGGTTATTCGCAGGAAGAACATGGGTTCAAAGCTCTACTGTTGTTTCACCGGCTCATGTCATCGGGTCTTGGTTTCGACGAGATAAGTTTATCAGGAGTATTCAGGGCTTGTGCCTTGGTGAAAGGACTTTCAGAGGGGCTTCAGATTTACGGTTTGGCGATAAAAAGCAGCTTATCGCTGGATGTTTGCGTTGCAAATGCTGCTATTGACATGTATGGGAAATGTCAAGCTCTGGCTGAAGCCTTTCGTGTATTTGATGAGATGAGAAGACGAGATGCTGTGTCTTGGAATGCGATTATAGCTGCACATGAGCAGAACGGAAAAGGATATGAAACGCTTTTTCTTTTTGTCTCGATGCTCCGTTCTAGGATCGAACCTGATGAGTTTACCTTTGGAAGCGTATTGAAAGCTTGCACTGGTGGTTCTTTGGGTTACGGTATGGAGATCCATTCCAGCATTGTCAAATCAGGAATGGCTTCAAATTCCTCTGTTGGATGCTCTCTGATCGATATGTATTCAAAGTGTGGAATGATAGAAGAGGCGGAGAAGATACATAGTCGATTCTTTCAACGAGCCAATGTCTCGGGAACAATGGAAGAGCTTGAAAAGATGCACAATAAGAGACTGCAGGAAATGTGTGTTTCATGGAATTCAATCATTTCCGGATATGTAACGAAGGAACAAAGCGAGGATGCTCAGATGCTTTTTACCCGGATGATGGAGATGGGTATAACTCCTGACAAATTTACTTATGCAACAGTTCTTGATACCTGTGCGAATCTTGCTTCCGCTGGATTAGGTAAACAGATTCATGCTCAGGTCATCAAGAAAGAATTGCAATCTGATGTGTATATCTGCAGCACCCTGGTTGACATGTACTCGAAATGTGGAGATCTCCATGATTCAAGATTGATGTTTGAGAAGTCGCTGAGAAGAGATTTTGTGACCTGGAACGCCATGATTTGCGGGTATGCACATCATGGGAAAGGAGAGGAAGCTATACAACTGTTTGAGAGAATGATACTCGAAAACATCAAACCGAATCACGTAACTTTCATATCGATACTCCGAGCTTGTGCTCACATGGGTCTGATCGACAAAGGACTCGAGTACTTCTATATGATGAAGAGAGACTATGGCCTGGATCCTCAGCTACCGCATTACTCGAACATGGTAGATATATTAGGAAAATCCGGAAAAGTCAAGAGAGCATTAGAGCTTATTCGAGAGATGCCATTTGAAGCAGACGATGTCATATGGAGAACCCTGTTAGGAGTTTGCACGATACATAGAAACAATGTAGAGGTTGCAGAAGAAGCAACTGCTGCCCTGTTGAGATTGGATCCACAAGACGCTTCAGCTTATACACTTTTATCAAATGTATACGCAGATGCAGGAATGTGGGAAAAGGTTTCAGATTTGAGGAGAAATATGAGAGGCTTTAAGCTTAAGAAGGAGCCTGGTTGCAGTTGGGTTGAGCTAAAAGATGAGCTTCATGTGTTTCTCGTTGGAGATAAGGCTCATCCTAGATGGGAAGAGATTTACGAAGAGCTTGGTTTGATTTACAGTGAAATGAAACCTTTTGATGATTCTTCTTTCGTGCCTGGGGTTGAAGTAGAAGAAGAGGACCAATGGTGTTACTGCTAAACAATTTTGTATCAAGTAAAATTTAACAAATAGATTGTTTACAGCGTATGTATAGTTGTAGTTTTGTTTGTTCAAGTACTATGATATTGCTTCATTTAATGATGATCAGAAGTGGTTATCTAGTTTCAATATCTTGTTACTTACTAGTTACTATACATTATCTTCTTGCTCTGCTTCTTTTTCCTCTTTTAGTTCTTCATGGTACTAAATTACTGTTTGGTTCGGTTAAGCTATAGATGAGTAAACTAATAAGATCACAACAGAAGGAATCACAAAAATGGGTCATAAGTCTCAAGTATACCAAAAATGATTATATAGGAAACAACAGACAAAACAGAGTTCTTCATCAGGAGGCAAAAATTCTGTAGACAAAATCTGATCTCTTTTGTAAACGTTGTGTTTTGTCTTATGATGTTGATGAAATATTCTCTGTTGTTGTCTTCTGGCGTTTCGGATCAACCTCTACTTGGACATTATCTTCTTGCTCTGCTTCTTCATCTTCTTTAAGTTCTTCAGGGTGTTGGTTAAGATGACCATTGACTGCTTCATGACCAATAAGAGATACATGTTTGCTCGTTATCTGGCGACCAGCCCTAAGCTTTGGACCCCAATGCTTCTCTGGATTTGGCAGAAAACGAGCTACTTTCTTTGCCTGTGCCTTGCTCAGCGAACCAATGTGACGCGAAAAATCAACCTGTCCAAACACAAGACAGAATCGAGAAGAAAGATTCAGGCTTGGAAAAACATTATTCAGTTTCAAACAATTCAGAGAAAGCGAGCAAAAGACCTCATGTGATGGTTCTTTGGACAAGATCACACTACCGGGTTGCTCAGGCGATGGCGCCTTTATGGGATGATTCTTCACCTACAACAAAACAATATCACCCAAGAAAAAACCATCAAAAACAAGACTTGGTAAGATGAAACACGCACACATTATGAATCATCAACTTGGTTTACCCAGCAGCGCATAATGTCCCAGATAACCTCCATAGGAGCATCAGTTTTCATGCCAAGCGGATTCACATGAGTTCCCGAGATACGGTAATTAGCATTAATAACCGCTGATCGAAACATTGCAGCTGATGGTGAAATGCACTTTAGTGTCGCACAAAGATTATGCAGACTCAAAAATAGAGGAACATCCAGCAATTCCTGAAAAAAACAAATCGAAACATAAAAGTCAATTTCTCACTTTTCAATGGTTTATTGAGAAAACGGAACAAAAAAAAATCCCACGACTTGCCTCGGAGACTGTAGTAAGTACAGCAGAGATCCGGTCATAAGCAGGATATCTGTCTTTCATGGATTTTACACTGTTTAATATCGAAGTCACCCATTCTTGATCATGCATTGGAGCAGACCATATTGGTCCACCCATGTTATATTTCTTCCCACAGTGGTTGCAATCCTGCTTCACAACCGGACCAATTGCTGGTAGATACCTCACACTGTTGTTCTGCCAAAAAAAAAAATGTTTTATGATAAACATTAAAAAAAGGGCGGTTTCAGGATAGAAATTTCTAACTCATTTGGAAGTGACCTCACTGATAGTTCAAGAGTATTACAAAGAGAGGGAACTATGTCAAACACTATTGACGCACATAGAACCATAACAAAAATCATTGGCTATATTCAAAGTTTCTATCATCCTAAGGGATGCAGTGCATAGAGAATGTATTAAAACTTTCACATGTGTATATACCTTAGGGAGAGATCTTCCAACAGGTTGAAGATGAAATGAATCACAGCCAATGCATTGATATACGTAAGAGAGTTTCAATGGAGTGTTCTTCATTGCACTCGCCGAGCTGACAATATCATTAAGCTTGAGGTTTCAGTGAATCGAAAACAAAACAAAATATTTTGCAAAATCTGAATAACTGAAATGTTACGTGTTTGATTAGACAAGGAAAACTCACGTGTAAA